CATGAGTATGTCCCTGACAATAGAGTGTGCAAATCAAACTTAAGAGGATATATTCTACGCATTTGTGGTGATTCACCATAATAATTGGAATGAATATTTGACATCCTTGGAGTTTGCTTACAATAATTGTATTCAAGCAAGTACAAATCATTTACCATTCTTCTTTAATATTGATCAACATCTGATTATGCTAGCAATCCTCTATTGTCCCATTGATATCAACAATCTGACAACGAAAGAGTTTATACAACAGCTTACAACTATCTTATAGGAAACACAACACCACCTCCTTATGGCAAAAAATCAACAGAAGTAATATGTAGATAAGCATTGACAATATAAGATCTTCCAAAAAGATGATTATGTATTATTCTCCAATGTCAATTTTCCACTTGTTATATCAATCCAAGTCCATAATTTGGTACCTTGATGGCTTGGACCTTTTTACATTTCTACAATGATTTTTTATTTTGTATATTGCCTTGAGCTTCTTCTGCATATTTGGGTCCATTCGATCTTTTATGTTTCGCAGCTCAAGAAGTTTCATAATGAATCAAGGTGCTTTTTAGACCAAGACCAACCACCACCACCACTAGTTGTAATTGATGATCAACAAGAGTATGAAGTAGACAACATTTTGAAACATCGCTACTTTTGTTGTGGCAATGGACATTCGTAACTTCAATACAAGGTTCTTTAGAAAGGCTATTCCATCTACAGTACAACATAAGAACTTATACAAAAATTCATCTATTGTCAAGAAACAATTTGGATATACTATCAGGAGCAAAACAAGGATATTCCGCATTAGTGGAAGGAGATTAAGTGTAATGGAGTATAGATAAGATAATTATATTATTGACGTATAGAAATAGGTAATTGAAGTTGTTTCTAGAAATTTTTAGAATTAGAGCTAGATTGGTGGTCTATGTGAAGTTCATCATAGAACATCCTAGAAGAACTAAGGGTGGTTATTTAGGTAGAAACTACATCTAAAATCTTCTAAAAAAGCGGTTATCAAGATGGAGCCCACCTCAAGAATCTTCTATAAGAACAATTATCTTGATGGAACCTACTATTAGGAACATTCTAGAAAGTTCCAAGATGATCGTCATGGATAAGAAAGGATAGTATCACCTCCTCTTCTTATCTAAAGTAAATGATCATCTTGGAACTTTGATACCTAATTGAATGCCTCAAATGGCCTTTGTCAGTCATATTTATATTTTGTCCAATTTTGTTCTGCTCAATTTTCTTTTGTCCAATTTTATTCTGCTCAATTTTATTTTGTCCAATTTTGTTCTAGTCAATTTTGTCCTACTTTGTGATGAGATTTATGTTGCTATAGACTAGAAGGATTTTAAATCTTTAAGAGAATTTAGTCGCATTTCAATATGTATGACTGTGATAGTAGATGCTAGGCCAATCTCTTCTTGTTGATATATTAACTTTTTCTCTCAATCACATTATCTGAGATTTCAATTTGTTAAGATCATTCAAAGTCTTCTTTATTCTACTTCTTGTAAGACTTTTAGATAAGACAAGGATTTTTTCTATTGTGATTGTTATTTAAGTAATAAAAAGATACTTGATTTGATTGTCATGGTGTGCATATGAATGTAGCTTTGCTAAAGATCAATTTTCAATTTTGTAATTCTTTGTATACATCTTAGAGTAATTAATTTTAGATTCTAATATAAGTTGACTTTATCATATGCTATTTCAATGGCTTGACATGGAGAATAAGAGGTTCAATTTTATTGATCGATTGAACTTTTTGAATCATTTTTGTTATATGTAAATTGATTTATTGTTGTAAATATGATCAATTTGCATTCAAGATAAATGTTGTTGATGTTGAAGATCTGTCCTTGAGATTAGCTGAGGTTAGATGTGGTTGTAGGGAGTAGGCATGTCATGTGTTGTGGAGTTGTTGGTGTTTACTTTAGATAAGAAGAGAGGGTGATACTGACCTTTCCTATCCAACTCATCAGACATGCATAGTCCATACATATCTGTGCATATTCTTTGCATATACTTTGTCTAGATGTTTGATTCAAAGTATCTGTACCACATAAACTTATGGTCAAAGCTCCTAGAGTTAGAAACTTTCTATGATTTATGCTTTTCTGGAGCATCTCCAAGTTAGCATGCTGAAGTTATACTAGCATGTTATCAATACGAACAATGTTTATTTTTTATTTTTTTATTTTTTTTCAGGACTCAGAATTGCTGGCTCATAATACAACTAGGAAAACATGTAACGAGTGCTCAATTTGCCATTAGCGTTTGACCTTTCTACGAAAGTTACACTTGCTTGATACATTACTTCGGCCTCACAGGGTTGGCTGTGAGGCTATAAAGATTAGAATCATTTGTAGTTGACGAAGTGTCAGGTGGGTTATGTTGACCCTGAGATGCCGTCAGCGGTGGCGTAGCTCTGAGTTTTCTAGTTGTGCATGCGGAAGCTGCAAACATCTCTGCATGACGATTTGTCAGAGATCCCTTGAGTGGGTTCCTGAACAATGGAAATAAAAAACTTACAACTGTTGAAACATCTCATGAATGTGAAGAGAGCTTTAGGAACTTCTTCTTTTGACTTGGAGGCGGTAAGATTCTGGTCAAAACTGGTCAGAACAGTTGAACGTCCAGTTGATCATTGATGGTGGCTTTTTTTTCTTTTTCTTTATTTTTTGCAACCGCTAAACCTGGAGTTATTGCAGATTTCGAAAGGGTATCAACCCTTTTCCACTTTTATTCTGGACACCGCACCGCAGTTGTCCCTGCTTGCACTGTTGTCAGACTACAGAGGAGAGCAAGATGCTTCGAAGACCTGTAGCATTGGCGATTTGTGATGGAGTGACAGAATCCCATTGGGTCCCGAAATTGGGCAAGGCCTCGGCCACTTGGGATCGGAGGTTAACCTTGTGTTTTTTATTTTTTGCTTGTGTGTATGTGTGTAGAGCCAAGACAATGAAGTGTGGCTTTTGTCATATTCTTCTGTTTATGCAATCGACATGCAACCTTGGAAAAACTGGTGGTGAGTGAGTCGATGACACCTCTCATTCGGAAAGTCGATCTTACAGTTGGTTTTCACTACTAGGACCTGGTCAGTAGCCTCTCCAGTGAGAAGATGCAACAGAATTGTTCAGAGTTGGGTTTGTACTGCATTCGTATACCATGGGTTTTCGGAGTTAATCTTCAGGTTTCTGACGGCTCCAATCTTGAGGACTTTGAAACTCAGTGTCATTCTTTTTTGTTTTCAGTGAGAAGTTTCATCAAATTGAATGAAACCATCATACATCAAAAACTAGCGGTAATAGTAATAATAATAGAGCCCATGCTCTGAGAAGATATAGTAATCAAATTTTGAATAGCGAACAACGACAACTGTTGAATGTAATGCTACGGTTGAGACTGGCATAATCTCACAGTTTTTGAGATTGCATGATCTTGTCATGTGGCAAATGACATGTCAGTACTCCACACTAAAAGCTGTCTATTATAGCTCATTTTGTAAGATTAATAACAATCCAAACCCATGAGAAGCAGCGACACAAGATAGACCATATATTAAAGTGAGATAAGTATTCCGTTTTCATTTATTTCGAAACAAAGAATTATATATATATATATATATATATATATATATATATGCACGACAAGCCAAGTTTTTTGGTTCACAGTGACAGTTTTTTTTTATTATTATTGAAATAAAAAGCAGAACCTTTCTCACAATTATTTATATCATGTCGTGCCATTTCAATCTTCACCCATGTACTAACTTCGTCGTCTCTAAGCTCTTTACTGTCAATAAGAAAGCAGCCAGTTTCAAAAACAAAAAAAAACAAAAAAACAAAAAAACAAAAATCAAAAAATCAAAAAATTATAAACAAAAAAATATATATGTATGTTTTGAAGAAGATGTGCACTTTTGAAGGTCAACAACTCGTGCACCTAATTGAAGCCACGCGGACATGTGGAAATGATAAAAGAGAATTGTGAGAGAGACCCAGTTTTGCCCTCGGTCAATAGATCTCTTCCACACAGTTTCAGGTGGAAACTGTACATTTTGGGACACAAAATAGAAGAAAGTGAAAGAGTCAAAGTCAACAATTTCTATACCACCGAATAATCGAGACCATTCTCACATCTTCTACAAAAATAGAATCTCCACGTCTTATATTTTGGTTTCACTTCTTTCCCTAAATTGTGATGAGTGTATCAAATAGTACACACTTTGAACCATTTCTCTACCTAATTTAAGCGTTTTTCTTTTTTCCTTTCGTCCCCCGAAAAATGGTGTGATTCAATACAATGAAAGTGGTTTGATTTTGGATTTTTGGATATTGTTTTCCTTGTGCAGCATGTAAATAGCATGAGAGTTATAATGAAATACATATTATATATATGTAGAAAGTATGTTATTAGATTGAAGAATGGTTTGTCATTGTAGCAGCCATGTTACCACAGATTTAACAAATGCATTTGGGTATATCCAATTAGTGTTAAACAGGAAGAAAAAAGAAAAAAGGATGTAAAACTTTGGCATCTGTGCGTGTGCTTGGCCATCGATGTCGATTCATTGCACATCAAATTGTTTAATGATCTACATTATGCTCTTACTTAGCATCCATCCGAAATTTTTTTTATAAAATTTATCATACTAACAGCGTGAAAAAGAAAAAGAAAAAGAAAAAGAAAAGGTATGAAGTTGAGGCTTCACAATTGACAACCATTATTGTAAATTAAAAGACACTGACTTCTATACAACTAAATAAATAAAAATAAATGATCATGATACTTGAGACATTTCCCCTTTGTCTTTTTTCTGTCTTTCCTTTTCCTTTTGTTTTGTATAGTTTAGTTTTAGTTTTAGTTTTAGTTTTTTTTTTTTTTTTTTTTTCAATATTCCATCGACTGGCCGCAAAGTGGCCGGAGTGGCAAAACCCAAATTTGGACAGAGGCAGAAACAGAGTGCGAGACATAAAGTAATTGACACAGTTTGCAAAATTGGGTGCCAAGTGGTGTGATAGCAGGCGATGCGAGCAGCAGGAACAGTGTTATGTAAGAAGTTTAGAGACAGGCAGGTAGCTATCTCTCAATCAGTCGAGGCATATAATCAAAAGGAAGCCACAACAACAAACAACAACATCAGCAGCAGCAGCGAGAGAGAGCGAGAGAGTAAGTAAGCTCGGGATTTGGATGGTTGAGCTTGGGTTGTTCGAATCGAGGTCCGGTTGTGTGCCCAATTAGCAGTGTTGATTGATCTGTGTGCTGGTGGCTCAGTGGGGTCGCGATTTCTGTTTGGGATGGAAAGGGAGTGCAATTGCTTTTCGAAATTTGGGTTGTGGAAAGAGACGACGAACCGAGAGGAGGAATCTTGCTTCTCTTCATTCTTGATGAAATTTTAGAACGTTGGAGAGCTGCGACAGCGTCCACAAAAGAAGTCTGGATCATTTTGAGTCTGGTTGGAAATTGGGCGCCGTTCGAAAAGTGTTGGATCCGCGTTTTGCCGGAAGCGTTCAAGGTGCTAACAACACAAGCCAAGATATCTGCAATTGAGAAGAACTTGTGGTTTTCTTATTTTGTCGGTTGCGTTCGTTGTTGCTGGTCTAGTTTGAGTGTATTGGGGACTCAAACCGCACCTCAATAGTGGGCAACAAAGAAAAAGATTCGTCGCTTGAATTTCGTGTTGCAATTTTTAGCATGAGAATCTCTTAAAAAAACCTTGTGATAGAAGTTCTTTCAGCTTACTAGAATGAATGGCTTTGTATAGATCGTCACAATAACTGATTTTTCTGATGTTTTTCGAAGCCTTGGAATTGGACAAAATTGACCACTGATGGCTGCCGCGAGATTCGCTTCTAGCTAGATTGTCATTCCAGTAGTAATCTTCAGTTTGCTGTATTGGATTACAGAATTATGGTCACAGGAACTAAACCCTTCTTTCTGATGGTGAAGTTTGTTCCTTAAATTTCGTTTTTCTCTGAAGTGTCTTCAGAAGCCTTCCTGAGTACAGATTGCTGGAGTTTGTGTTCCACTGGAGTAGTGAAACGAAGTCTGCAGTTGAAATATGTTACTGATTGCCAGGTTAACGATTGGAATTTCTTTAGGGCTCAGAGACAAATTGGACGGCACTCTGTGTGTTCTTGGGCAGTCAGAGTTATGAAAAAGAGAACGCGTGGCTACTCTCGTTTGAGATGGAGAATCGGAGTTTACATGTTCTTAGGTTTACCTCTCGTTATTGTGGCGATGTTGAAGCTTCGGAGCTGGGACGTCTGTGACGAAGTGAAACAACATCAAATCAGTGACCCTTTCAAGCCAAAGCTGGCGTTTCTATTCCTGGCCCGTCATTTCATGCCTTTGGACATTCTTTGGGAGCATTTTTTTGAGGTGGGGACCTTTTGAAAAAGACATTTGCTTTTTAGACAGAATTCACCAAACAGAAGGGTTTTCCTTTTTTTTTGTTTTTTGTGCGAATCTATCGATGGTAACTAGAATTTAATCGTCTCATTTTAAAGATTTTGTGTTTTTATTTTTTATTGAATGGTAGTGGTAAGTTTTAAGTTGTTAATAGATTGTGTGTTCATTGACGTGCCTGTTCGTCATACATCAAGAATGATTTATGTTGCAATTGGCAGGAATCTCGAGAAAATGAATTTAGTATCTATATCCACGCAAGACCTGGGTATTCTTACACAGAAGAAAATACGATGTGTCGTTTTTTTGTCGATCGCCAGCTCAAGAATCCCACCCAGGTATGATTCGTACCTTAATCCCTGCAATTGGGCAGGTTTTTTTGGCGCACGGTTTTGCAAAAGTTGTCTAGTTTGGAATTTTTTATGTTGATGTATGCAGTTATCAACACCCGCTTGCAGAGTTTGTATATTTCACGCCTCTCAACTCCTGATTTAACCGCCTCATTCTCGAATTTTCTGCATAATGTTAACATCGTTCTAGGGTAGTGAACGATGAAATCGTTGTCTTAGGAAATTTATGAAGCTCAGTAATTCTTAATCACGTAGTTTTCAGGTAGTATGGGGAGAAGCGACCATGATTCAGGCAGAGCGCCTCTTGTTGACGGAAGCTTTGAAGGAGCCCCTGAACGATCGCTTCTTACTTATTTCTGACAGGTGGGTTGTGATAAACTTTGCTGTTTACAATTTTGTGAAGGTTAGGCTGGGTTTTAGCTGTAGAAAATGCGACTTATATACTCTATTGTGGAATACAAGAGTGGTGAAAGAACTTTTGCGTGTTGAGAGCTGCGTCAGAAAGCTCGGTCCCGATGATCCCCGTGTTGAGCAGCATTTTGAGTATTGGTGTTCCAAAACCAACATGCACTGAGAACTCGACTAATACTGGAAAGTGGCCGCTGATTTGGTGCAGCTGTATTCCTATGTACAATTTTGAATTCGTCTACAATTATGTAATGGCCTCTGAAAAGAGCTTCGTGGATAGGTACTCTCATGATTTTATTCAGAATCTGGTCCACATGTGAATTCTCTGATAAACCTGTTCCGTAGATAAAGCTGGAGTCTTCTATTTTGCTTCCAGATTCAATTTTAAGTTGGTGAGTTATTCTAAATGGGTTTTGGGAGGCAGTTTCATTGATTACTCCGATAAGCAGTATAACGACGACATGAAAGCTGTTATTCCGCATGAGAACTGGCGCAAAGGGTCTCAGGTACTTCAGGAGAGATGTATGCCTTCAGGAGTTCAACATTATCTCTTTCACCAGTTTTTTCTGCTTCTCTATCTCACAGTTTCGATGCATTGACACTCATGGTAGTTCAGACCTAGAACACATCACCACAGCGCAGTTTATGATGCATATTTAGATGGCCTTGCAGCTCTCATAGTGAGTAGTTGTCTTTGTGATTGAGTTACTAGTACAACATTGATTGATCTTACATTCAATGGAAATGGTACTGCGTGTAGTGGTTTACCTTGACGCGGAAGCACGCAGAAGCTGTTGCAGCAGACTCTACAGTGTTCCCCATGTTTGTTCAGTATTGCAAGGTTCGACTCTTTTCTGTACTCTTTTGATATTAAATCTTTATTTTCTTGCCGTCTTTTGTCTCTTTTTCATAGTCGACTGAGTGTGCACATCCTATTGAACGTCTAAAGCTTGTCTGCTAGTGAATAGTGATTTTATTTTGCTAGGCAACGCTACAGGATTAAGAGTGGATAACACGGGTGGCTGAATGCAGAAGGTGGTTCTTCCAGACAATTGGACGAGTGACCCTGTGGTTAGGCCCTGTGTTCTTGTCCTCAAGCCGTGGTTGAGCAGATGAAACAGCGGCTTACTATCCAATCAGCTTTCTAATTTCAAACATGAGTTATGTTAATTTCTTTGGATTTTTTCTGCAGAATTTCTGAAGGATTTCTTATACCGTCTTTTGTGTCACAGAAAAACGGCACAAAGATGCCTCACAATTGTATACCCGATGAGCATTACATTCAGACTCTGTTTGCTGTAAGTGTGAATCGTCTTGGGAAACAGTTGTGCTTCGTTTTTGCTTTCTTATTAAGACGTATTCGTTTCTCTCGGAAAACATACGTTTGTTGGATGTATGCTGTCAATATGAAGACTAGCGAAGCGGATCTTTTAAGTGTAAACTCAAAAAGGGGCTTCAAATTGCCGGACGTGAATTTGTGAACGCAGATGAAGGATTTGGAAAGGGAGACGGAGCGGCGGACATTGACTTACAGCCGGTGGGAGAATCATGTGAAGAACAAAGGTAGAGAAGGATGGCATCCCGTCACGTTCACCTTTCAAGACTCTACCCTCGAAACTATTAAATATATTCAGGTTTGCATCTCACTTTTTAAAATTGGACTCGTCCCTTTCTCATATTTGTTGCCCTTGTAGCTCCGGAACACAATTTGTGCCCAAACTTGCAGGACTTGATGAAGTGTATCCTTCGGCCGTGGTGATGGATTCAGGCTTTCCGCAACATCCGGTATGAAACCGAGTCACGCACAGAGTGGTGCAAAGTAGCAGGCAAGGAGAGGCCCTGTTTTCTATTCGCTAGAAAATTCACACGGGCTGCTGGGTTTCGCCTTCTGGACCAGGTCACCAAGTACGAGAAGGCAGTACCATCTTGAGCGAAACCCCAGGCTCTTGACGAACGTCCAGGCAGCTTTGGGCTGTAAAAATTCTCCATACCCTTCTCGCAAGCTCAATGCCGTGCTTAGTCGCAAGATCAATACACTGTTCCGCTTGGGGATCAGCAATTGTAAAGCGCATTATTGATTTGTAAAGGTGTCACACAACAACCCACACAAGTTCTAGGTCCCTTTTGGGAGATTAACCAAGCAAGCAGTTATAGTACACTCTTAGAATAGTGACGAAAATGTTTACTCATTGCAACACTTGTGGTCCACTTGTAGAATAACTCCTTCCTATAATGCTTCTATTCTTTTTCTTTGGGCCCAAATCTCTTCTCAACCATGCGTTTTTTTAATTTTAATCTCTTATCTCTCGGCTTCAACCAGTCAATACCACGAGGCTTTACCTCAAGACCCTATGTCTCACAACGAAACGAGAGCTTCAGAGGAAGAAAAGTCTGTCTTCACTGGGAACATGAATAATAAACCGTAACAAAATAAAAACAAAAGTATAAAAACAAAACACGTCGATCCAACGCCAAGCAAAAACAGTCGAGGAGATAGGTACTGTAATATACTCGCCCATTCATGCGTTCCCACCATTTAATTCACTTGAACTTGAAAAAATACGCACACTCGCCGCCTCGTAATCAATCGAGCGAGGTCTGCTTCTGACACTACCACCCCCCCTAAAAACAAACCAACGAATCCACCAATCTTTTCTGATGCACGAGGAGTATTTGAATTCCGAAAAGGCAACGTCAACCCGGCAATCAATCGAAGATGCCGTTGGATGAACGGTAACGTTTTTTTGCGTGGGATTTGAAGTTGGGTTTGGTAGCGAAGATGGCGATGTTTCAGCAACGAATCCATCGCTCGCTCGCTGCACCAGGAAATACGTTATCACTGCGACACAGACACAGACACTTTCACAGACACAGACCCACACATATTTGTTTCAAAAATGCTCTGCAGAGATTTTATTATTATTATTATTATTTCTTATTTTTACTTTATGTTGGTTTTACTGTTGCCGATGTGAGTTCGTTGAACTACCTTTGCATCAATAAAGAGGATTTTTCTCCTCCTTCCTTTTCTTCTGCTTTAAAAAGATAATAATTGTAGTTAACATGAGAATAGAGGATTTTTGTTGAGATTAAAATCCATTGTTATGAGAACTTCTAATGAGTTCCACATGCACTTGCAATCTTGCTGTTGTGCCTTCATAATTTCTTTTGTCTTTTTGTACATTTACAAATTTGAATTTGAACAAACTAGTGCAAAGGTGATTTTTTTGCGTTTGAGTGGAAATAGTATTGGGCAGAGTTTCAAATAGGAATTGAACACATTTGGATACAATTCAAGCGTGAATTTATCATATTTTGGTAATGTTAATGTTAGAACAACTCTTGGTACTGGCTATACAACTTTTAAATCTAGAGATCACATCTTTTATTAATATGGGAGTATAAATTTTTGTTTTTGTTTTGTTTTGTTTTGTTTTTTTTTTTTTGTATGTTTGTTTTGTTTTTTTGTCTTTTTGTTTTGTTTATGCTTACTAACAATGCTAAAAATATCACATAGACTTCTAATAAAAATTCTTCCAATTGCATGCAGATGAATTACAATGGCTCTATTGACTTGCATTGTGTAATTATGTTCATATATATATATATATATATATATTGGCACTTTATGGCTTACAATGATGTTCTCAACTTGCATATTAAGCAATTTTGAAAATGTAATCATTTTCAAATATATATATATATATATATATATATATAAATATATATATGTTACTTTCCTATAAAATACCTCTATTAAAAATAAAATAATAATTAAACTCAACTCTATAAAGACTTCACTTAATATGCACATATTCCCTTAACTATCGAGAATACTTATTTATCTTCTCCAAACTTGTTTTTTATGAGATTTGTTTTTATTATATTTAAATATATATAAAACTACACACACAAAATCTAAGGATTTAACTCAAGTAGAAACAACTAAAATAGAATGAAAAGATATTTATTTGTGAACAATATTATCTTTACAAGAATAAAACAAAATGGTCTTAAAATGTTTTTGCCCGAAACAAAGTTTTGCCAAATCACACCATTTAGGTTCATAAAGCAAACATTGACAATAATATCCAAAAAAGCAAAATTTCAATGGAAAGAAGAATGGTGCCTTTTTATGTTGATATATATATATATATACATATATATATGTATTTATATACATGGCAAAAGAGAGAGAGAGAGAGAGAGAGAGAGAGCGTGTGTGTGAGGGTAGGAGTGGGTTTATAAATGCACGTTACTTATTTATTTATTAATTTTTGTTCCATCGCCATTAATTATATCCATAAATGCGATGCTCCGAGCGAGGGAGGGAAAGGGAAACGGGGGGGGGTATTCGCCGCGCTTTATCCAAAGCTCCGTGCCTCGTCCTGTACGCCGCCGTAGGTTTGAATCTCCCTCCACGCCGATTTCAATTCTCGGCCCGAATTGACGAGACAGACACATCCACGACCATCTGAACCGCTATTGACTCGAAATTTCGATGTTGTTGTAGTTATTGATGTTATTGATGTCAGCGACGCCCCGACGTCGGAGAGGAGGAGGAAGAAGTCGACGACGACGACGACGATTCAAAACATGCCCCAGGGTTCAAATGGAGGGCCAATTCAAACGAACGCGATGATGCGGAGCCTGCTGGCCCGGTCGGAGCAAAGCAGCAAATATAGAAATTGCTAGTGGCGGAGCAGAGCAGGTCATGGAATTAATGTGCCGCATGAGTTGAGCAGTAGCAAGGATTCGCCCCTCCTCGTTTGGGACGCCCTTTACATCATTTGTAGAAACAGAAATAGCATAGAAAAAAAATGTAGGAAAAAATTAAAAATTAAAAGTGTATATATATCTATACTAGCGAAGGAGAATTTTAGGGGCTTATCGAGGAGATAGAGCGGAGCTGGTCGTCGTCGCCTACGACGAGAAAGCGCCCGTATACCTGCCAGATGGTGGGTTGCAGTGCGACCGACCGACCGATCGATTGACCCCTCCCTCATAACCCAACTGGGATTGCGATCAATCTGTGTACAAACCGTCAAATTTTGAGCCCGACGGCTTCGATCGTGCGATGAGGCGTGATTCTACAGCGATAAGATCACTGAGGGCGTGACTCGTAGCACATGAATTTCAAATGTTGTTACAGCCTTTGTGCGTGACGGAAGGCCGCGCCGGCGCCTCCCGCTCTACTGCCTCTCCCTCTTCTTCACTTACTATTCCTCCTCAGCAATGCCATGATTGGCATTTCCATCTCTGTAGCTCATTATTCCCACATTCATTCCACGCACCTGATCGGCCCCTCGTTGGTGCGTTCGAGTTTTACACGCTGTGAGGTGGTTTCTGATGTTTGTGGGTGTTTGTCTTTTTTTATAGATTCGTTTCCGAATTTGGAGAGAGTTTTTGTTGCGAGGTTGAGATCTGAGGATTGACGGGGATGGAGTGAGAGAGAGCTTAAGGGTGGAGATGGGTCGGGGTTCCCAGGAAATTATTTTCGTGGGATTGACGGGGATTCTTGGAAGGTGGTGATGGTATGTGGGTTGAGGTGGAGTTATTGGAGAAAAGCGAATGAGGAGGCGTAACTCTTCCTGAATTTTGGTAGCTGTGAGAGATTTAGATTGAGATTGGGCCGAGTGGTCGTCGGTAGGTGATCGCTGCGGGTGATGAAGATATTTCGAGAATTCGAAGTGTTTTGGAGCTTTCGCTAGTCTGGGTGAGAATTGGCTCGGCAGGGGTTTTCTGGTTTTTTGACATTGCTGGTGCATTTGTAGCTCTTTTGACCGTGCTCTGTCTAGATATTTTTTGGCTTTAGTGAAATTCGATTAGGAGAGGGTTGACAGGTGAGAATCTGGGCTCCCTTGGCGCCATGGTGCGCCTCGCTCTTTTAGAAATTTCAAAGCCATTTGAAATTTTTGATGAGATCTACATTGGCACTTGGCTGTACGGGTCAGGATTTGCCTTCGATGAATTCTCAAGAGAGGTTTCTATTCTGCTTATTTAAATGCTGGTATGACACTTATTTTTTCTCCAATGTATCTGTCGTTCGAGACTTGTCCTTGTCTTGTTCTCGTTATTATTCTTCTCCTCACTTGTAACCATGCAAATCTGTGATGAGGAATTGAGCATACGCTTATTAGCTGCTCCCATTTCGTAACCTTACTCTGGAAAGTTCTAATGTCTTTTTCGCGCGCATCCTAATCTCTACCTCTGAAACAGCAAGAGGCTCCCCGCGGGTATTCTTGTCGATGACGGTAGGAAGCTGGATCATTCTGATGCATTTGAGTGAGAAAGTTGTTGATAGCACTTGTGGTTGTTTATACTTCTCTGGAATTTTCTTGGTGATGGGTGTGTTCTCAAATATGAGTTAAGAAAGCAGAACTCACTATCTAGCTACTGGGTCTGTTACTTTCTGACAGACGGTACATTAGAGATTTCACAATTTAATTTTTTAAATTTTTGCAGTGATCACTCCTCCCTTTATCTCCCTTGTATGCTGGTCACTGTCCCTCCAGCTTGGGTTGACTTGACGTGATTTTGAAATTAGGAATAGGGCGGTTGTATAAGTTGATTCTCATGTAAGAGAATTTCTTTTAGCATTACTATGGCTCCTGGGTCTAGTGTTTACGAAAATAATGTTGTGAAAGACCAGGAAGGAGTTTGGAGAGAGAACACCCCACAAGAAGTTGTAACCTCTGGCAACATGGGCATGCTAGCTGACGTAGATGTGAACCGATTTGTAAATTGTGATTCGAACCAGCAATCATGGCCTGCCTTGAGCAAAACTATTCTACCTCCTCCAAAGAAACGCAATCATCCAGCCACAGGACAACCGGCCTCAGTGGTTAAATGCATGGACTGCAAAGAAAATAAGAGTGATAGAGGTGGAAGTATTACCTCAAGAATATCATCTTTGAGCCCTGGAACCAAACGCAAGATGCTTGGCTATGCAGCTGACGGTAGTGTCTCTCTATCTGCTTCAGGAGTCTGATAAATGAATGACTTAGTTGCATTTGTGATCGTCGTATTCGTCGGATAGTTTAATTAGCTGAAACTTCTCATCAAATGTCTCGAGAATGCCGGGACCTGTGAATATTTATCTGGAGCATGGTATCGACGTTACTTCTGTTCCAGCCTCTATCAATTGCATACTGTTTTTACCCAACGTGGAGTGCAAGTTCATTTGTGATAGTATCTCTTGTGTTTCGTATGTGAGCTGTGAACTGACTTCAGCTCACGCTTGCATTTATATGTGGTTGCTTGGATAATGTGCATGTATTTCATGCGTGTAATCTATTGGCAATTCTGATTTGCAGGCTCTATCCCTCCACTTCCCCCACGACAAAAGCGTGTCAAGAAGGTTTCCAAGTTATCGAGCGGGGAAAACAAGCTGTGTACTAAGTTTGCACGGTCCGTGGAACCTAGTGGCCTTCTTGGGGACTTGAAGCCTGGTATCATGAGACAACAAACTCGTACACGAACAGAAGTTCATGCCTTACTTAGTGCTGTTGTTGGTGATCTCCTGCACAGGGACACTCTGCCAGCACCTGAGGTCTCTTGTCGTGAACTACAAGTGAATGATAGTTCCTCAGAACAAATTGAAGAGTCAGCTATTGAATGCAGTGGTTTGCGAAACTCGACTGAAGAGGATTTTGAGCATCGCGAAGGATCAGCTCTGGGGGAATCGGTTGATAATTATATTGGTCTTCTTGGGACAGTTCGTGAACAGGATAATCCTGAGAGCAGTGAATGTGCGGATGTTGAGGATGGACCATTTGACATTGGGTTGCGTAAATGCAAAGGTTTACTGAACACCCATGATAGGACTTCTGGGTTTGTACCGTTTCAAAGAAATGGACTGCATTCATGTACTCGAACTACTCCTATGTTGCCCATAGAGTCACGCTTACTTACTGCTGACCAAAGAGATTCAACGGGCCACAATCAGCAGGCTCACTTGCCCTTTTGCATGAACCAAGAGTACGACTCAACTCTGATCTCTTCAAGGGAAGCATGTACAGCCGAGGCTTTCAAATGTAAGCAAGAAGATCTTGAGGAGGATACGTGTAAATATCCTTTTGACTTCTCCTCCCTGATTGAAGATGTCGGTTCTCTTGGACATGAAGACGGGACGTTGCTTCAACAACAGGAATCTAAGTTACCTGTGTCAGTTGCTGGTACGCTAGACTGATTCTTAGATTGTCTCACTGCTATCACATCAAGTTAGCTTTATTGGATTCTTGTGCTTGAATTCAATTGGAAGACATCCTTTATATCCAGGAAGTTTTTGAACCCGCAGAACCAGCAGTTCTTGGAAGTGTCATGCCTGTTGTAATTGATCACTCTAGTCATTTTAATTGAGTCCAGTTGGAGGTCGCTGAAATTTGGAGATTCCTAACGATGCCCGTTGTTTGAATAGCTGCAAATGTTGCACCTTGCTGGCTGGAGCTTCTTAGCCAAGACGTCAAAGGGCGTCTAGCTGGTCAGTACAAATTTCACCTTGATTCTGGGTGTTATCTGTCGCTCATGATATGCAGTTTTAATCCTTCAAACGTGCATTTTTGGTTTATATACCTGGTTTGTGTACTGCCACTTTCAAAGCCTCCCCTAGTGCATGTTGTGTAACTGCAAATTTAGTATGTACGGGGCTGCATTAGAACATTAGTTTTTCTTTAGTCACATTTTGTCCGGTGTTGGACCATTTTCTGATAGGCATGAATCGATTCCTGTTCATGTGCATGGCTTACTATGCTTGATGCTTTTCCATGAAAAGTCATTGTGAAGCCTACCGAAATTTATCAGCTTTAAGTTTCCTCTGATGAGCGCGTTTTGAATTGTAGCACTTAAGAGCAGCAAGCGAAGGGTAGGAAGTGTTATCTTTTCAGGGGATTTAGATCTGGATGCGCCTTTGCTTCCAGGCGGCGTCACATCTACACTTACTCCCAACCTTGGAGATGGGCTCCTGCTTGTGGATAGCTGGAGAAAAGTGTTTGAATCGATGGATAGGGCACTTACGCTGGAAGGAGAAAAGCTGGTGAGTCCCATCATTGAAAGAACGTCTGCGCCTACAGTTCCTTCTCCAGTGTTTAATCTATTCATGAAATTTTTTACTTCACATGCGTTATCTTTTCTAGAAGTTTCTTACGATCTTTTTTGGATACCCTATGAGATGCCTATCGGTTGACGACAGGTTTACAACAGTTCAGCAGTGGCTTTGGCTGAGCCTAGATTGCGAACTTCACTAGGAGTGACTAGGGTTTTTGCATCGTCCCTTTCACACTTGTTTCTTGGGTCATGAATTAGTACTTGCTAAATTATTAATCAGATGGCGATGTGTTTTTGTAGGAGAGTTGGCTTCAGCAGATTCAGGTGATGCAGAGTGAGTGCCAAAGAGATATGTCCACATCGTCGAACATCAGCCTTCCAACTCTCAGGTGCGTGGTGTGAATGATTGTTAGTACGTCACTTGCTCTTCGTTTGCCATGCCTTGAACGTAAATCACGAGCGCGTCTCATTTTATCTGAATATCTAGTACGGAATCGTTCCATCGAAATTTTGAAGTTTAGAGCAGGCATGTTCTTTTCATTGTTTTCCGTTCACATCATAGACCATTTCTTGAGTATATTCCTCATCTATCGCCCTCGTTGAACGGAGAAGAATCAGAGGACGTAGGATTGAAGTAGAGAGTCAGGAAATGGGAGAAGTAATGAGAATTGTCACCTTCAACTATGAACTTGATGCTGACAGATCTAGTTTATTCATGATAACATGATGTTAAATGTGCAGTGAGCCGACTCCTCCAAGAACTCAAGACATTCAGCAGATGGCCGCACCCTTGGCTGCGGCTTCCATTATGTCCCCGGCTGGCTTTGCCTCTTGAATAAGAAAATACTCCCAGGGTTTGGTTATGTATCATGCAGTGCCATGTACGTCATTGTCCCTTGTCTGATTAGTCCTTTCTAAATCTCGCTGAGAGTCTAGCTTCAAGTCACATCTGTTGCCCTCATGTATAGACTTACCTTTGCGTTCAAACTGGAATGGGCCGCACCAGTATTCGCTACTCGCATTGGGACCTGGCAGTATCTTTAGATGCCCCCATCAGAAGACCCGAGTCGAGCAATTTAGTGAGGTTAGTGAGGCAGGAGGCAGAATACTTCAGGATGCCACGTTAATAGGAGGTGTCCTGTTCTTTCATTCAGATTCGTAAATTTGGTTCTTTGTAACGTGCGAATGCATGTATGCTACTTGGAACTTGCACTACGCATGGCTATTGGAAATGCATGGTTACTGTGTTAGTGTAGTGGAAAGAATGTGGCCTGTGGAGCTGCTTGTCCATCCAAAGCTGGATTTAATAAAATTAGGCAATTTTGTTTCGTCTTAATTGTTCTTGCTCAAATCCTAGTCACAACGTATGTGGTTGTTTTACACGGTAGTTTGTTCGTTTCGTGCTGTTCATGATTGTGACGAGTAAAAGAATTTAAATCGGGCGTCCTGGTGTGAAGTTTTTTGAAAAGTTTCGTTGATTGATTACAGCTATCCAAATCAGGATACTCTCCCTATCGTACTTCTGAGGCCAATTTCACCGCAAGTGATGTGCTGGTCATCACCCACTTCGAAATGTCCCTGATAAATCGGCTTTATGAATCTCGTATAATGTATGACACTATTTTGAAAACACAATTCCCTGTAAGACCGCGTGCCCATATACACAAGGAGGCATTGATGCATCTACGCGTCTACTAACGTTAAGAAGAGAGGGAACCAACGATGCTAACCTGAACAAGTGACATTTGATGGTACTCTCGTTTCATGCTTAAAGTAGCTCTTGATCAAGACAAGAAAGGAAATAGAACATTCTAATTTAGAATTAGCAGATTGAGCTAAGATTTTATATGTATCTCTATCATCATCCCTCTAAATCTAATAGTTTATTAGTTTTTAATAGTTTATCTACTAGTTTGAAGTTTGAGTAATGTGAGGTCAATGCATGAAGATGTCAAAAAATGTCCTCACTAAAACATGCCTTGATTGGATTTTTATGGATCAAAGCAAAGTTGGTGGTGATGTTGGTTTGAATGCTAGAAAGTTAATTGAAGCAAAAAAAACACATGATCAAGACAACATATTAGTAAGAGTAAATAATGTCTAAAGAATAAAATTTAGGAATTTGTGAAGATAAAGAGGGAACAAACTCCTACAATATATCTTCAATAAAACTTGTCACAATTTAGTTAGTTGTTGATTAGTTCTAATGTGAGAGATATTGATGATCCCTTTTAGAACCTTTAGCAACAAAATGATGATGTAAAAAAAAAAGTCTTTTAATAATTTGATAGCATTGACATTGTTAAAACAGAGATGGACTTTAAGTTAGGTTGAAGTAGAAGAAGAAGAGTGATTATTATATATAAGAGGATCAAATTGAAAGAGGGAGGAATGTAAAAAAATTAAAAAATTAAAAAATTTAAATTTAAAAAGAATCTCTTAGAATAAATTGCTTCTTGAGCACCATCTTCAAAAACCTAATAAATAACTTCTATAATATAGAAAAAAATACTTAGATGTTTATTGTTTGTTTACAAAGTGGTTCTATTAGTAAGCTTAAAAAAATAACCTCTAATACTAAATTTAACATCTTTGCACATTGTTCAATTCAAATAACCAAGAAATTGAATAAAAAAAGCCATGTTGGAGAAGCCATCACTGGCATTTGTAATATTTTAATAATAAATAATTCCAAAATCTAGAGTTTGTTTAAAATAGTAAAATTACTATAGAATAAACTCATAGCCGATTCTAAAGTTTGTTCTATAGTTCTAGAGTTTATTTAAAATAGCCAATTGCTAGTGCATTAAAATTTATATTATAATTAATAATTATTTTTCTTTAAAATATGTTAGAGCAATAATAAGCCTTTAATTTATTATTATATTATACTAGAATGGTAGAAATGATTTTTTTCCCCTAAATTATTCTATTGTTCTTTAGGATCATATACATGGGTATGACATATAATTATTGCCAAGTAAACAACAAATGGTTTAATTCAATAAACCATTTCAAATAGAATAACTTTAAAGATTGCTTTGGTGTTGTAACAATTTTGAAGATAGTTAGTAGTCCTGATAACTTTATTCCATAAATATTTAAGAATCTTGAATATGGCCAAAATACAACCTGTAATATTAATCAAGAATTATATGTAATCTGATATTTATTTATTTATTTATTTAATTACTTTTACAATACCATTTTGTTTCAGAATATGTATAGTGGTGAACTATCTTTGAATACTATATTGATTAATTTTTTTTAGTATATTTTATAAAAAATATCCTTACTTCTTATTTGTACAAAGTATTGAGATGAAAAAACCAAAAAAAAATTCTAAGTGGAGCATTTGAAGTACTAAAACTTTTCAAAAGCTTCACTATTATGATTGAAGAAGTACATCCTAAGGTAGTAACTAAAATCATTAATAAATATAAAGAAGTACTTACTATAAGTCAATAAAGTGATAGAAAGAGGCATACAATTATCTTTAGCTTTAAGAAATAAAACTTGGTTGAGTCTATATTTGATACACAAAAAATTTGTCAAATAAAATAATCTATGAATCAATCTATCAGCTTACTAATGATTGATCATCTCTACATGTCACGAACATATATTTACTGTAATTATTATCTAGATGATATGAATAGGTAGAAATAGATAAAAGTACATTAATTTCAGAATATCTTCTAGAATAGCTTCTTAGAAGCTTCATAGACGCTGCTTTGTCTTTACATGTGTTTATACTTGATTGATAGGTTAGAAACTTGGTGAGCAAGTTAACCACATACTATACATGTTGGTAGCTTGTGGAACAAGCTAATTATATGGGGCCACATAAAAAACTTACCTTGTAAGTTAAGATACATGTTGTGCAAAGTCAATACGTTTTTGGAGGTCCTATAGAACGTCGCCACATAACTCTTAGATAGATAGTCTATATATAGGTAAGAATAAAGCCTTCTTCACTCTTGTCAACTCTTTTCTTGCTTCTAGTCTAGTTTCAAGGATCTCTAGTTTTCTTGTCTTTTGGCAATAGCCATTCCAATTTCTTTCTTAATATATATATTTAGTTATTTTTATTTTGTCATCTTTCTTTGAGAAAAGTCTCACTTGTTTATTTTTTTCTATCAAGTTCTTGTCCTTGATAGATTGACAAGTGTGCACTTACAATATCACAGCTTTTTATAATCTTGATTAAGAGTGGATTATCCCTTTCTCTTGATAAGACACAAGTATATTAGAAGTTGTAGATTATCCTCTTCTAAACTGATATTTTTTTTAGTATTTTCTTTATTCTTAAGTCCTCTCTTCTATTTGTCTTGAGCAATCTTAGACATTTTTTTTTTTTTTTTTTTTTTTTTTTTTTTTTTTTTTTTTTTAAGTGTTATCATGGTAGAAACTTGCTAAAATGAAGAGTGCAATGGCACAAATATAAGAGCAATTGAGGGAATTAATGCTTGCGATGCATCAACTCAATTTACCACTACAAGGAGCAATAAAATTAGCAAGAAGAGAAGATATAGAAATGATTGGAGCTGCTTCAACATCTATACCAAATCATGTCCCTTCTCCTATGGTGGAACATCCTTCTAGTATTAGAGAACCAAGAATTTTCCTATATGAGAAGTTTAATGGCACTAAATCAAAGTTTAGAAGATTTATCAATTAAGTACAACTTGTGATTAAACTTCAATTCCAAAGTTATGCAACTCTAGGATCGCAAGTTAGATTCATTGGTACGCTTCTTTTAGGTTCAACATTATCATGGTTTTTCATCTTTTCTTGAATGACAAGATCTAATATTGAATAATTTGGAGGCTTTTTTGGTGGAGTTTTGATCCATGTATGGAGAACATGATGCAATTCATATTGCAACCAACAAGATCTATATTTTACGACAAGGCAATCGATTAGTAATGTTGTATGCTTCACAATTTTGACAACTTGCAACTGATATCAATTGGGATGATGCTACACTTGTTAGCCAATTTCTTTATAGATTACAATATGAGGTAAAAAAATTAATGCTCAACTTATCTGATCCTCAAACATTGAGTCAAGTAATTGACTTTGTTATGAAATGCGATAATTATCTTTTTGAATTTCGACCTAAAAATCATATAAGTAGATTTCAATGTTACTATAATTCAATGGCAATACCAACATCTCTTCAACACATACATTCGGAAGTAGAGGATATGTAAATTGATGTGATACATTTCAAATCTCTTATTGAGCAAGAAAAGACTCGTCATCTTCAAGAAGGATTGTGCTTATATTGTGGAGAATCTAAGCACACTGCTCAACATTTCCAAAAGAAGCAACACAACCATAAAATGAGGAGTACGGTTATCAAAGAAGATAGTATGTCAAAAAATAAGTTAGTCTAGCTACAATAAGAACCGTGCGGCTGAAATCTTGTACAACACCTAGTGAAGGTCCTATTCTCTCCTTAGAACCCTCTCTTTGTTTTACGATAAATATTATTTTAGGACCTAAACATCACAAAGCCTCTGCCTTGTTAGATTCAGGAGCCTCAGTATGTTTTTTAGATGAAGAATTTGCTAAAAGACAATGCATATTTTTAGTGAAGAAACTAAATCTGTTCATGTAGAAGTCATAGATGGTCGTCCGTTATCTTCAGGAGATGTTATTCATGAAACCCTTTCTATAGAAATAGCAACTAATAGTCATAGTAGCTTTGTAATATTTAATATCATTAGATCTTCATCTAATCTAATCATTTTAGGTTTATCATGGCTAGAAAAATATAATCCTAAAATAGATTGGACTTCTTGTAGTCTTGATTTTTCTAAAAGTATAACTAAGAGCGTAGTTAATCAAGTAGAAAGACATAAGCCTAGTATAATTAAACATGTATTTGTAGGTACAAGAGCTTTCTTGCATGCTGCAAAAGAAAGATCACCTTGTATCATTTATGCCACACTTGTTTCTATTGGTGGAAAGACTTCAAGTAGCATTCCAAACCAATATGAAGATTTTCAAGATGTATTTGAAAAGAAAAATGCGGATACTCTTCCGAAACATCATTCTTATGACTGCTCAATTGACCTTCAAGAAGGAGCACAACCGCCATTTGGACCAACCTACAATTTATCACAAAATGAATTGGCTGAATTCAAGGAATATATTGAAGAAAATCTAGCCAAGAACTTCATATGCCATTCCAAAACTCCAGTAGGAGCTCTAATTTTATTTGTGAAGAAAAAAGATGGATTATTGTGGATGTGTATCGATTATCGAGGATTCAACAAAATCACCATCAAGAATAGATATCTGCTACTTTTAATATCTAGACTCCTT